AGGGTTTCAAGCAGGTGCTGGAAGGGAAACCGGCTCGTGTTTTACCTGCTTTAATTTTTCAGTTTAAACCAGTTCTGCGTCTGAGTGTGTGTGGTCTTTTGAGCTCCAGACTCTGCTAAATTAATCTTGATTTTAAAGTCGAGTGGGAATAAGACAAAATTTAATTAAATTAATTAATTAATTAATTAATTAATTAATTTTTTGAGACAGAGTATCGCTCTGTTGCCCAGGCTAGAGTGCCGTGGCGTCAGCCTCGCTCACAGCAACCTCCAACTCCTGGGCTCCAGCGATCCTCCTGCCTCAGCCTCCCGAGTAGCTGGAACTACAGGCATGCGCCACCATGCCCGGCTCATTTTTTCTCTATATTTTCAGTTGGCCAATTAATTTCTTTGTATTTATAGTAGAGACGGGGTCTTGTTCTTGCTCAGGCTGGTCTCGAACTGCTGACCTTGAGCGATCCTCCTGCCTCGGCCTCCCAGAGTGCCGGGATGACAGGCGTGAGCCACCGCGCCCGGCCCATTTAATTTTCTTATTCTCACAAACCACTCGCTCAGTGTTCCCATCGTGCCTAGTCAGGGACACGCATTGCTGCTCAGGGTGCCCTGCTCACTGCTCACCTGTCCCTGGGGGAAGGCTAAGAAAGATGGGAGCCCTTTTGGAAGACTCCCGGATGGGTCTCCTGGGGGGACGCAGGTCGTGGGCCAGCAGGGGAAGCCTGGAGCTGGGAGCGCTGGCTGTGTCGCCTTGGGGTGGAGCAGCCTCAGGCCGGGGTGGTTCTCCTGCAGTGAGTGGCCCGGTTAGAGGCTCGGATCTCATGCTTGCACCCAAGTCGCTTGTCTCTGACTTCGGAAGAGCCACCGAGTGGCTAGGAGAGACCGGAGCCATAGCCGCCTCTTCCTGACACGCAGAGCCTTCTTACTGGCAAAGCTCTGCGTACCGCACTGGCTGGGCTAACTGGAACCCTCCCTCTGAACTGAAAGGCATTAGGCTTTTGCATAATAATACAGTGCTACTAAGGAAAGGAAAAGCTGATGCATTTGGAGCCCCAAGCCCCCCTTATTCCATTCCACCCTTTGCATGGATTCCTTTTGATTTTTTTGGAGAAAGAGTCTTGCTTTGTCATCTGGCTAGAATGCAGTGGTGTCATCCTAGCTCACAGCAACCTCCAACTCCTGGGCTCAAGCGATCCTCCTGCCTCAGCCTCCCGAGTAGCCCACAACACCACACCCAGCTAATTTTTTTTTTTCTATTGTTTTGTAGAGACAGGGTCTCACTCTTGCTCAGGCTGGTCTCAAACTCCTGAGTTCAAGAGATCCTCCCGCCTCGGCCTCCCAGAGTGCTAGGATCACAGGCGTGAGCCGCCGCGCCCGGCTTTGGTCACGCATTTTACCACCGTACTTTAGCTCTTACGGAAATTCATGGCAAACCTGGGTATCCTGAAATAAGGATGAGCCAAGGGGTTAAACTCATTTAGATATATTAAATACTCCTTCCTGTAATGTTACATATTCATATGTTTGTTTTAAAATGTTAGTTTTACTTCTATTGACAGGGCTCGTGTCTATGAGGGATGTTATAAACTCTATTGACAGGCTTATAATATTTTGCTTTTAAGTGACAGATCTAGACATGGAAATGTAAACAACCAGTCACCTAGACTGTTTATTCTACAGTGCTCTGAAGACCATTCTACTTGCGACTGTAATTCTGCACTCGTAGTTTAGAACATTCCCCCAGCGATGCCAGCGTGTGTGCGTGTGTGTGCGTGTGTGTGCGTGTGTGTGCGTGCGCGTGTGCATGTGTTTATGAATAATATGATTTCCTCGTGGGTGTGAATCTCATCCTCTGTGAGTCCTGCGCCCTAACCATATTGCTAGGCAACACGAAGCAACACACAGCCCACGTCTTCCTAATTCCGTTGGATGTTTCACAAATGGACCTTCGCTTTTATCTGCAAGCAGAATAACACAAGTGGGTTTAGGATTCTGGTTTTTGTTTTAAATAATCAGGTGTCCACTCAGATCAAAGCTAAATGGCCATCGCTATCAGACAGTGGCAGGAGAGAGGAGAGATGGCACGGGGCAAATGCACATTGTTTGTTTGGAGTCTCTGGCTGACAATTCGTTCTGGCTCTGGGGATGGTAGCAAGGACAGAGCGTGGCCTGGCGTCCTTCCAGGGACTCGCGGAGTTTTCCTAGGCCTTGCAGGGCGATTGCACGTGGAATCCTCTCTCTGGTACTGGCCATGTTGCCAGATGAAAATCGGGCAGGCACCTCCCCTGTCAAAGTAGAGGCCAGTATTTGCAGCTCGGCGTCCAGAGTGCGATGAACAGACCCACCCCAAGCTGAAGCGCGTTTGCCGCCCTCCCGCCTTCCCATGTCCAGCGAGGGGCAGGAAACGGGCATCGAGAATTCCAGAGTAGAGCCTTGAGGAGACAAGTGCGCGACACGTCATCTTTGCAAAAAAGATCACTTGGGTTTCTTTCCCCATCCGCTCCATCCCGGCCTCAGAGACCCACAGGCTCAGGACTGACAAGTCCCCACGCTGCTGAGTGATGGCATTTTTGAGAAGTAGCGTTGCCCACGTCAGAAAGTCCCACGGTGGCACTCTGATCTGGCATTCAACCCGTGAGAGCGGATATATTCCGATCCCTCACTTGCAGGCTTGGGAAAAAGGAACTACAGGCTGGGCGCGGTGGCTCACGCCTGTCATCCTAGCACTCTGGGAGGCCGAGGTGGGAGGATCGCTCGAGGTCAGGAGTTCGAAACCAGCCTGAGCAAGAGTGAGACCCCGTCTCTACTAAAAATAGAAAGAAATTAATCGGCCAACTAAAAATATATATAGAAAAAATCAGCCAGGCATGGTGGCGCATGCCTGTAGTCCCAGCTACTCTGGAGGCTGAGGCAGGAGGATCGCTTGAGCCCAGGAGTTGGAGGTTGCTGTGAGCGAGGCTGACGCCACGGCACTCTAGCCCGGGCAACAGAGTAAGACTCTGTCTCAGAAAAAAAAAAAAAAAAAAAAGGAACTACAAAATTTTGGCAGTTGGGAGATGAAAATAAGACAGAAACGGGGCCATTGGTAAGAACTGCACTTAAGGGAAAGTGTGATTATATTAATTATCTACCGCTCTGAGACAAGTGTCCCCCCTAAAAAAAAGCTGGCATTTTAAAGCAGTAATAGACACTTACTAATTTCCATGACTGACTCCCGGCCTCTTACAAGGTTGCGTTCGAGAGCTAGCCAGGGTGCCGGCTCTGAAGGCCGGCCGGGGCCGGGGCTGCAGGGGCTGCTTTCAAGACCAAGCTGGTTTATTCGCATCAGGGACAAGTCCGTGCTGGCTCCTGGCAGGAGAGTCCAGCCCCTCACCGTGTGGCTTCTTGAGTGTCTTTTCAACCCGGCAGCTGGCTCCCCCGGCGCGGACAGTCCGAGAGAGGACACGGCAGAAGCCACAGTATCTGTTATACCCTGGTGTCGAAAGTCACCCTCCATCATTCCGGAAATGTCCCCTAGGTTACACAGGCCAGCCCTATTCAGTGCGGGAGGGGACCGTGTGAGCGTGTGCGTCCCAGGAGAGGAGAGTCCCTGGGGCTCTCTTGAAGGCTGGCGACGAGAAGGGCAGACACAGTTCTGTGCACGCGAGATCGAGAAGAAATCCGTGTGCTGGTCGGGCGACGGGGTGCACCGGCGCAGTGGCCTCGGTGCAGACTGCAAGCCAGCGCCTGCATCAGCGTCAGCTGAAAGTCCGTTATAAATCACTGGTTTTCGCCCGGGCGCGGTGGCTCACGCCTGTCATCCCAGCACTCTGGGAGGCCAAGGTGGGCGGATCGCTCAAGGTCAGGAGTTCGAAACCAGCCTGAGCAAGAGCGAGACCCCCGTCCCTACTAAAAGTAGAAAGAAATTTAGTTGGCCAACTAAAAACATATAGAAAATCTTAGCTGGGCATGGTGGCACATGCCTGTAGTCCCAGCGACTCGGGAGGCTGAGGCAGGAGGATCGCTTGAGGCCAGGAGTTGGAGGTTGCTGTGAGCTAGGCTGACACCACGGCACTCACTCTAGCCCGGGCAACAGAGTGAGACTAAAAAATAATAAACACCGGTTTTCTCTGGCCCCTTCCCTGGGTATTCTGGTTAAATCAAGGATGATGCCCAGATGTGGGAACTAATAGATTAGATGGCCTCTCCCATCAAGCCCAACGGCCTTAACGCTGTCCCCAACTCACCTGACCACGGTGCTACCGGGGGTCTGTTAGAATTACAGACCTGTGGGGCCACCTCCAGCTTCCTGAGTCAGAGCCTCCCGGGAGGGACCTGAAAACCTGTGTTTTTGTTTAACTTTTAGATTTTTGACATTTGACTTGATTGGAAATTCCAAAAAGGTATGAAAGAGTGTCATTAAAAAGTCTATTTCCCAGCTTTGTCTTCCAGCATCCCAATTCACCCACCTGGAAGGTGGTATACAGGACGTATAAGGTAAATGTATTTATTTATGTGAGAGTGTGTGTGTTTGTAATTTTTTTTGATTTTTTTTTTTTTGAGACAGGGTCTCGCTTTGTTGCCCAGGCTAGAGTGAGTGCCGTGGCATCAGCCTCGCTCACAGCAACCTCCAACTCCTGGGCTCAAGCGATCCTCCTGCCTCAGCCTCCCGAGTAGCTGGGACTACAGGCATGCACCACCATGCCCGGCTAACTTTTTTTTTGATATATATTAGTTGGCCAATTAATTTCTTATTTATTTATTTATTTATAGTAGAGACGGGGGGGGGGTCTCACTCTTGCTCGGGCTGGTTTCGAACTTCTGACCTCGAGCAATCCTCCTGCCTAGGTCTCCCAGAGTGCTAGGATTACAGGCATGAGCCACCGCACCTGGCCTGTTTGTAATTTTTTTTAAAGGCAAATCAAAAAGGGTATGCAGTGAAAGCAAGTTCATTCCTGGTCCTGATCGCTACTTCTCTTCCCATGCAAACATTTTTACCAGTTTTTTTTTTTTGTATGTCTGTTTAAGAGAAAGCACTTCGTCAGTTCATCAAGTGACTCAGGTGATTCTTATCTTGCTGCGTTTGGGACGCTGGAATGCTACAAGTTTAAACAGCTGGGAAACCGCCCTTGGCTGCGCATGGGCTGCATGAACTAGCGCACTGCTCGGATTCTGTCGGGCTGCATCTCGCTTCCATTCGTGCATCCGATTATTCACAGAGGCCTACTGCGTGCCCAGGCCAAGTCAGCCGCGAGCCGCGGACCAGCTCCGGCGCCTGCCTTCCCCAGAGGAGCTGGGATTGGCTCCCCTTACCAGTCCATTCTGGGCACGCGGGGCCACCTTGCGCCCCCGCGCTGCGATCCGGGAGGAAGGGACTTCCACGCCGGGGTGAGCAGGACCAGGCGGCGATGCTCGTTGGCAAATGGAGAGGTCGGTACTCCTGGCAGAGAGAAAAGGACAGATTAAAAAAGTCCCTGGGCCTGGCGCAGTGGCTCACGCCTGTCATCCTAGCACTCTGGGAGGCCGAGGCGAGCGGATTGCTCAAGGTCAGGAGTTCAAAACCAGCCTGAGCAAGAGCGAGACCCCGTCTCTACTATAAATAGAAAGAAATTAATTGGCCAACTAAAAATATACATAGAAAAAATGAGCCGGGCGTGGTGGCGCATGCCTGTAGTCCCAGCTCCTCGGGAGGCTGAGGCAGGAGGATCTCTTGAGCCCAGGATATTGAGGTTGCTGTGAGCGAGGCTGACGCCACGGCACTCACTCTAGCCCGGGCCACAAAGTGAGACTCTGTCTCAAAAACAACAACAAAAGTCCCCAAGTTCAGGCCCAGCGCGCTGCTCTCAGGCCACCAGAAAGGAGAGCATCTTGGTGTTCGTGCCCACAAGTGACTCAAGGCGACACGAAGCAGGTGAGCAGAGGTCAGGATAATGGGAAGAAGCAGGCAGGCTCTGCACGTCAGACATTGGGTTCAGGAACCATGTAGTTAGTGGGGAAGGAATGGGCTGGAAGGGGTCATGACCTGAGGCAGGTGGGCAGTGTAGGAGGTGGCGTCTAATAATCCAGGAAAGTGACCAGAATGTCCGGGCTGAGGCGGCCGTTGCAGGGAGGAAGGACACTGGACACGCTTTGGAGCCGTTTGAGAGGTAGATTCAAGCAGACGCAGTGACGGACGGGAAGGGGCTGCGTGTGGGACAGTCACACATTTCTGGCCGGGGCAGCCAGGTGTGTTTTAGTGCAACAGGGGACACGTGTGCGAGACCTTTGGGCCGAGGCCCGAGGGGTGGGAGGGCGCGTCTTGAGTCTGGGGAAGAGAGGACACACAGGCGGACGGGTCTGCATGGGAGACGGGAAAGCGAGAGCCAGTTAGCTGCTGGCGCCGTGGGGACAGGCACGCCGCCCGCAGCTCCGCCTCACCTGCGCTTCTCCCGCCTCCGGCCCTCCTGCCCGAGAACGCGGCGGCTCCCAGCAGCCCTTTCCACCTTTGCCGCCCGCTGGAGTGGAAGGTCGAAGGGAAGGTCTTGCAAGAAAGTTCTGGAACTGCCCAGTGGGGTATTCAGTTCGGTAAGAAGATAACAAGGGTCTTCTTTTCGAGAAAGAGCCTTGCTATGTTGCCCAGGCTGGTCAAAAGATAATATTCTTTTTTTGTGTGTGTGTTTTTTGTGAGACAGAGTCTCGCTCTGTTGCCCGGGCTAGAGTGAGTGCCGTGGCGTCAGCCTAGCTCACAGCAACCTCAGACTCCTGGGCTCCAGCGATCCTCCTGCCTCAGCCTCCCGAGTAGCTGGGACTACAGGCATGCGCCAGCCACCATGCCCGGCTAATTTTTTCTATATATATATATATATATTAGTTGCCAATTAATTTCTTTTTATTATAGTAAAAATATTGCTCAGGCTGGTCTTGAACTCCTGACCTCGAGCATTCGGCCCACTTCAGCCTCCCAGAGTGCTGGGATTACAGGCGTGAGCCACCGCGCCCGGCCTGATAGGGGTCTTTTTTTTGAAAAAGAGCCTTGCTATGTTGCCCAGGCTGGTCAAAAGATAATATTCTTAATGTGTTCAGGAACTATTCCATGTTTACCAGAATAGCGTACAAAAAATTCCGATTCAACTTCCATTATTGATTTATTCCAGGTACCGAAGAGACGTCTTTGGCATCGCACTGCCAACCTGTTGCACTCCGGACATACTTGAAATAAGGTAAGCCTGCAGCCACGGTTTTTTGTTTGTTTTTTTTTTATGCCTTTTTGGAGTTTTGGTTGGAATTGATAGAGCTTCAGCAAATTGGATGTTTGAAAATACCTTCGTTAAGTGCTGTGAACAACCAGCTTTTAGATTGTGATGGCGACTAACAAAATAAGATCTTTGCTACTGTGTAGAGACAGCTGAAGAATTGTCGCTGTCCTTTCGTTCTTGCTAAATGGCGCGTTGTATTTTGTGTCCCGGTTGGGTCAGGACAGGTTTCTGTCTGAACTTCCCAGCATGGGTGGGAGAGAGTGATTTGGCCTTTAGTGGTTTCTGGCAGCCACAGCCAGTCCATTTATATGGTATGTTCGCAGGAGAGCTGACAAGTGTTGAGAGGTTTTATTTGATATGCATTTTTTTTTCAAGTAGAAAAAAAAAATCTGTAAAAATAGGTACTTGTTAGCTAGTTTTCCTGGTTAGTCTTGAGATCAGAACCAAATGTTTCATTAAGGAGTTACACCTGAACTAGACTAAGTGGCTATGTTGAATTATCTGGGCTGTGTTTAATATTCATGATGTGATCATACACTCCCTGGGCAGTTTTTAATGATGCAAATGCAAACCCACATTATTTTTCTGTATAACTTGTAAAGCCGTTCCTTCTAAAATGGGGCTGCTTATGCTAATTTCTTATAGTTAGTGAATTGCAGGCAGCTCTGTGAATTTACTTTTCTTGGCAGTTCTAGAATATCCTGCCATAACACATACTGAAAAACTGTTTGACGGGTTATGAAAATCTGGATGTACCAAAGGTACATCTTGTGCGAACTGTAAAATAAATACATGATTACATTTTTAAAAATCTGTTATCAGGTTAAGGAAGTTGTCGTTATAACAACTCAAGGAAGATTAAACAGTTTTGCATGGAAGATGTGCTTTGTATTTGTACATACTATAAATATTTTCAGTATCCAACTCTAGCTCAGTTTTGTTGGTCTTTCTGCAAATACTGTCTACAGGAGGTGAACTATATTCCATATAGAACCAACCTTGGAGGTAGCCCCTCATTGCAAAGGTTGATATTCTTAGTAAAGCTAAGAAGCACTGGTTGTTAGAATTATTGGTGCAAAATATTTCAAGTTTTATTTTATTTTTAGTCAAGCCAGCCAAGTTCTGTTACTTCAAGGATGTTGGATTATGGGGTCCATCAATATTGGCATTGGCAGTGAGGCTTCGTTAATGATAAATGAAGTGTATAATTTGTTTCCATATTATGTTAGCTATACCTAACCGACTCCTTTGAAACAGCCTCAGACCTCGAGGAGCTTGTGTTTCTCATAGATGGAAAGATGATAAGAAGAAACAAAAGCAATTCATTTGTTCAAGAAATATATAGTATGTTGAGAAGCTACTGTGTGCAAGATATTCTTTTCAATTAAAATTTTAACTTTTATACATTATTTACTTATTTTCTTTTTTAAAGGAGGTGATAAGGATATTCTGTTATAGTTCTTAGGGCATGGAGAATATAATGGGAATAGGAGAGATTCGGTTCCTGTGCTTGCATTCTATTGGGAAGACAAACATGGAACAAATTATGCAATTATTTAATAACAGTGTGAAAAGTGTTTCAAATGACATGTACAGGGTGGGTTAAGGATATATAATCGCATGGAGGAGTGAACTTTTTCTAAGCAGTTCCTGAAGGTGAAATTGTGTTTGGGATGAACTGGAATAAAATCTTAATCACATCAAATTTTTTTTTGAAAAAAAGTGCTCATTAAATACAAAGTAAATGAGGTAAACCGTCAAAAGATCTGTAAAAGAAATATGCTATCATTTGGTGGGAATCTTATACAGGCAGGAAATTATCTTTGCATGCATGGAAGGCAACACCTTACCACTTGAAGGAATGATTTCCAATCCTAGGATAAAAGGATTTTATATTTCTACTTTAGAAGGAAGAAAAATAGATAAGAAATGCAGATGGCCAATTAACTCCTCTAGTCGGAACTTCATGCACATGATAAAGAACATAAACATTAACATAAAATAACATGTTTATATGCTTATAAAAGCCTCAAATTGATTAAAATTCTTCAGTGACAAGGTTAGGCTCCTCGAGTTCTTGATTGGTGAATGTTCTCACATATTTCCAAGAAAAATGAGATGATTCCATTTGAAGATGAAGTCTAAGCCTAAATTGACTAAGGAATGTGAAGAATATGATTAATTTCTGCAACCTACTCTTTTAATAACAATTTCAACCAAACCTAGTTAATGTTAAATTTCCAGTACAATGTGCAATTTTAGAAAATGTGTCATTAAAGAGCTAATCAGAAGTACATATAATCATCTACTAGGCTTAGATTAGGCAAACATATCACTTTCAATTTGCTTTTTGAATAAGTAATATGCATATTATTGGAAAAAATAAATTGAAGAAAAATTGTCTCTCTCCCAATCCTGTTCCCCATCCACGTAAGTTCCAACCATCTTAGACCATACGCACCTGGTGGTGGTGTTATGTGTGTGTTTAAATAGTTCTTTAGCACATACTAGCCAATCTTGATATACTCTTGGCTCTTTATAGGAAAAGGTAGCATACTACAGACACTCTTGTGCTCTTTTGCTTTTTTCCACTTAACATTATTTCTTGGAAATCTTTCTGTATCAGTACATGGACCCTTCCGTTTTCTCTTTGTATTTTATGGCTGCATAGTATTCCACTGTATGGAGGTACCACGATTTATTTAAGTTGTCTCCAATTGAACGTTTGGGTTATTTGCAGTAAACAATTCTGTAGTGAATAACCTTGTGGGTGGTCATTGCACAAGTATATCCTCAGAAGTAGAATTGCTAGTCAAAGGAATAATCACTAATAATTTATGTAGGGCATTTTGGCAATATCTGCCAAAAAGTTGTGCTGATCTGCACTTCTAATGGTGATACGCAAGAATGTTTGTTTTCCACTTGATGTTATCAATTTTTTTTTTTTTTTTTTTTTTGAGACAGAGTCTCACTCTGTTGCCCTGGCTAAGTGAGTGCCATGGCGTCAGCCTAGCTCACAGCAACCTCAAACTCCTGGGCTCAAGCAATCCTCCTGCCTCAGCCTCCCGAGTTGAGGCACCATGCCCGGCTAATTTTTTCTATATGTATTACTTGGCCAATTAATTTCTTCCTATTTATAGTAGAGACGGGGTCTCGCTCTTGCTCAGGCTGGTTTTGAACTCCTGACCTCGAGCAATCCGCCCGCCTCGGCCTCCCAGAGTGCTAGGATTACAGGCGTGAGCCACCGCGCCCGGCCAATGTTATCAATTTTTTAGTGGTTTTTTTTTTTTTTTTTTTTTTTTGTAAATGATTGAAGGAAAATAGCATCTCATTTTTTTGTTGTTTTACTCTTGTAAGATTTTTCTGTTGGGCTGTTAGTCTTTTTCTTCTCAATTTAAAGAAGCTCTTTTATTTTAGAAAGATAAGCCCTTTATTAGTAGTTTGGGTTGCAAATATTTTTACCTCACCTTACCATTTGTCTTTTGACTTGCTTGTGGTGACTTTTGCCACCGAAGTTTTATTTTTATATAGTTGACTCTATCAATATTTTCTTTTATGGTTTTTGAATTTGACTCATAGTTGGAAAGGGCTACTATATACAAGGTCATTAAGAGAGTATCCTGTTTTTCTTCTAGGGCTTCGGGTATTTTTTGGTTTTTACCTTTAAAATTGTTGTTCATTTGAAATTTATAAGATACTAGGTTTGTAAGGTATTAGGTTAAGACATTAGGTTTTCCTTCTAGAATGCTACCCTGTTATCTCAATAACAAATATTGAACTGTCTCTATTTTCACTCCACACTGATTTGTAATGCAATTTTTATCCTTTATCTATTTGGATCTATTTCTGAACTTTAAAAAAAAAAAACATTTTTACATGTTTCAACTCTTAAAAATGTTCCATGCTATTTCTGTTTTTAGGCTCCTTTTAGGTAACTGTCATGTTTAATTTTTTTTGTTTTAAAGATGTTTTCTTCCTGCTAACAATTTGCATTAGTTGCTTCCTTGAGCAAGACCTTTAGAAATTTACGTGGAATGAAAAATACAATTATGTGAAATTATTCATGTCAGAGCTGATTCGACAGAAGCTGACATCTTATGAAAAAGAAAAAAAGAATCTGTTCCAGGTACAATCTCTTAAATCCTGTGAGACCTTCACGTACTCAGACCAGAAATATTTTTTCATTATACAGAATGTATTTTAAAGGGATAAATGGATCCAGTCAGCAAAGAGTTGGAAGAAAGTGTGTTAGATCCGCCTCTGAATCCCCCAGTGGGATTACTTGGATGCTGAACCTTAAATTGCATTCATTGCAGGATGGTTTTGTCACTTTTTAAAAGTATTTTTAATTGGAAACAACAGCAGGCTGGTTACATAATATTGTAATTGTGAGATTATAGTGAGCGGAAGAGAGGAGGAACAGAGATGTGTCTGTCTGATTTACTGTCTGGGGGGCGTCCACAGTTTGTTTCTGGTGCCATTTAATCTGGAAGATTATATAGCTGAGAATAACAGACCCAATAGAGATCCCTGAGATCCTGACTCTCATGAGTCAGTTGTGAGCATCAGGAACATGGACTACATTTGATACTGGACAACCTGCTCATGTTTTATTCCTGACTTTCTTTAATCAAGTAAGTTCTGTTTGAAAAGCTTGAAATTAGCATTCCTATAAACAGGGAAGCGCTGCTGAAACCAGCTGGCATTCTGTAAATGAAATGAATGGAACAGGAACTGGGAATGTTCTTTTCTCTTGATTATTTTGCTAGATTGTCACTAGGAACGGCCCAAACCTAAGTCAGCTCTTTCATTCTTCTTGAGGAAGACCTCAATACTAGCATTTTGTAGGGTTTAATGAATTATTTTCTAAACAGATATTAAGTTTAATATAAAAATGGGTATTTATAAGAATACCATGGCTATTAGGGAAAAATTGTATTCTAGAGAAAAGAGAAAGCAATTTCATCACTGTTAGAACATGGAGCAGAACTTAGGTGGATCTTGGATATAAATTGGAATAAAAAGAAATCGGATTTACTTTCTAAGTTTGGGTCAGAATATCTTTGCTCAGAATTTTGGTCTTGAAATTAAAGTGAACATATCAAATGTGCACGTTTAATTCCTTCAATGGAAACATAAGTTGATCACTTGGGAAAAAAAAAATCTCACTAACTGTACGTTGAATAGCTTTGCCCATAAATGACACGTAAAACATAAATACATGAACTCAAAATTAATTGTAAATACTTTTCAGTAAAATAATAGATTATTGTCCATCATCTCAAAGGAGAAAAAATAAGCATTACTGAGAAAAATCTCCAAATCTTATTTCAAATTTATTGACTATGAAATTGAGCTACTTTCTTGTGTGAAATTGTGACCAAACGTGTGAATTTCTCTGAGAATAAGGAAATGGGTGAGTCAAAATTGGGACGAAAGGGTGGGGTGATTTGAGTCCTATGTCTATTTAAACGTTCTACTATACTCTATGAATAGTACGTCACTGGGCTTGCCTACACAGTAGCGAAATGACCTGTTGGTGGTAGCTTGTGATAATCACACAGTGGAGAACTAAATAGATGGTCACTCTTGGCGGATGAAGAAATTATTGGAACGAGGTGGAAGGAGAGAGGGCAGCGGTAAAGCAACTACCATGGGGGACAAGAATGAATTATTTTGTGGTATAGCAACAAAAATAGGATTACAACATGTATTTCTTAGCTGTCAATGCCTGTTTTGTTTGTTGCCCGAGCAGCACGAATGTCTCTGATTCCTTTTTTTTTTTTTTTTTGGAGACGGAGACTTGCTCTGTTGCCCAGGCTAGAGTGCTGTGGAGTCATCATAGCTCACAGCAACCTCACACTCCTGGGCTCAAGTGATCCTCCCGCCTCAGCCTCCCAAGTGGCTGGGACGACAGGTGCACACCACCATACCCAGCTAACTTTTCTATTTTTTGGTAGAGATGGGGCTTGATCTTGCTCAGGCTGGTCTTGAACTCCTGAGCTCAAGCGATCCTCCCGCCTCGGCCTCCCAGAGTGCTAGGATTAAAGGTGTGAGCCACCGCGCCCAGCCCCTCTGAATTCCTTCGTAATGGTTCTTCATGAAATCTGCATGTGAGAATGAAAATAATAAGCCTGCTATAATATCCAGTTATTCTTTGGCTAGTGTATAATAAAATAATAATTGTATTAGTTTAAACTTTCTTCCCTAATTTCATTCTAAGGTTTGTGGGTTTTTTTTTTTGTTTTTTTTTTTTCTAAATTAATGGATTTAGTAAGCACCTTCTATGCTTAAGGGAATACAACTTTCTCCCTCTTATTTCAGCAAATTATTTTGTTTGGGTGACAAAATGTATGCTCCCTTACATGTATTACTTAAGTCTATATTAAATGTCTATGATGATTCAGGTCACAGAATTTCAGAAAAAGAAAGGCTACATCAACTGTCAGCTTAGGAAAGCTTTCCTGAAAGAGATAAAAGTCAATTCTCCCCCTTTTTTTTTTCTGAGACAGAGTCTCACTTCTGTTGCCCGGACTAGAGTGCCGTGGCGTCAGCCTCGCTCATAGCAACCTCAACCTCCTGGGCTCCAGTGGTCCTCCTGCCTCAGCCTCCCGAGTAGCTGGGACTACAGGCATGCGCCACCATGCCTGGCTCATTTTTTCCATATATATTTTTAGTTGGCCAATTAATTTCTTTCTATTTATAGTAGAGACGGGGTCTCTTGCTCAGGCTGGTTTTGAACTCCTGACCTTGTGTGATCCTCCCGCCTCGGCCTCCCCGAGTGCTAGGATGACAGGCGTGAGCCGCCGCGCCCGGCCAGGAATCAGAGAAGTGAATCGCTCATGCTTAGAGAAGAGAAAAGGCAAGACGTAGAGGATTCAGGAACTGTACACAACCTTGGGAAAACTGCTTAACTTGTCACTGTGGACACCTTGAAGGGGTGGGGGGTGGGGGGTGTGTGTGTTTTTCTCCTGGAACTTCCCTTTCCTGAGGCCGGGCACCTCCAGGCAGCTGCTGCGGAGCCAGGCAGAGGTGGTGCAGAGAAGGCTGAGCCCAGGTTTGAGTGACAAAGTCGTGGTTTCGGAGGGCTCATTGCAGCCTCCAGATCTGGGGCGAGGCCCTGTGGGTGACACCTGTCTAGGGAAGCAGAGGAACAGGCTCCTCTCTGGTGTGAGTGCAGTTGAAATTAGAAGAGAATTTAACAGAGCACACAAAAGAAAAGAGCACCCCGGTTTTCAATAGGAAAGGAGTTAGGGGCGATGCATTTGCAGGCGTTGTGGGGGCTTCCGTCTAGCATGTGTTACCCAGTGGGCTCCCTGCATGCCTTGCCTGCCCTTCGGGCTCTCCTGGTTTGCCTTCGATTTCTTCCTTCCAGCAATTAACTGGAAGCACAGAAACAGACATTACCCACTGGCCATTTCTAGTGATTAATCTCCTTTTGCAAGAGAATGCCTCATGCCCAGAGTCCAATCTCCAGCTCTGCATTCACCTTTCTGCCTCAAATGCATCTCTAAAGTCCGAGGTGCCACTCTGAATTCTAGGAATTCTCTGACCCTTTTGCTCCGGTTCCAGAATGAGCGCTGGTCTGCGTCAACACTTGGGTCGTCCTTGACCCATCGATAGATTTTTTTTTTTTATTTCTTTTCTTTTTTCTTTTTCTTTCTTTCTTTTATTTTTTTTAGGCCTGGAAAATGGACAATCGATAGATTTTTAAGCTACCCTATGCAAACTGTTATACTACTAGAATATTTCTTCAAGATCTGGGTTTTTCCAGAAATGAATCTTCCTTCACAACTGTTAGCAGACTTAGAGCCTCAAAAGGTATCTGCCAAATCCTACCTCCACCGAGCATTTTGTGGCTAATCTATTTTTTAAATTCTTTTTACAGTTCTTTTTTCTAAATGTAACGGAGAAGCTGACAACTCGCCATGGCATCCTAACCCTCGTTTAATATCACAGTGCTAACGAGGTGCATGGTGCTAAAATGCTTTGTTCTTCTTCTGGGAAAGATGTTATAATGGCCTTACGTTTTTTGGGGGAAATGTGGGTTGCTGCTTATCCTACACGCTTTTTTGCTTGATTTGCCGTCACACTTTTTTGCTTTTAGTTTAGGCTTTTCTGTTTTCTCTACCCTGACCATATTACTATCATAAAAAAATCATCTGAATAAAATCATCATGCTTCCGAAGTAGACAAAAATGGAACCTTTAAAAAATGATATATGGAGGCGGGACACGGTGGCTCATGCCTGTAATCCCCAAACTTTGGGAAGCCAAGGTGGGAGGATCACTTAAGGCCAGAAGTTTGAGACCCGCCTGAGCAAGTAGCGAGACCCCCATCTCTACAAAAATTAACCCTTTGTACTCGCTTGCTTTTTTCTCGATTCCTTTATTCTACTTGGGATTTAATTTTTTAAATACCCCAGATTTTACAAAGCGCGGCAGTAAAATAAAAAACTGGAGTTTCTTTTCATACAAACTTATTTATTTGGATTTTTTTATATTTCAAATTATTGATACATTCAAAGAGTAATCTGTATAATTTTTCATGGTGTGATATTTTTTTGAAACATTCACCCACACGAAGACCTGGTTTACATCCACATGTTTCCCAAATATAAATCGTCTCTCTTCTTCCTCTTTTGATTTTTCTGTTAGAAGAGACAGCACAAACTTTGTGTTTTTTGTTAGGGTGAGGTGTGATTGTATGGAGCTTTCCATCTAAACGTTGCTCTAAGTTAGTGGATAATAATCTACCCCTGGGAGTTGGTGTACCGTCTCTGCATTTACATTTTACTTGTCCTTCCATGCTAATGAAAACAAGAAAAGATACTGGAAAGATAGACAAAAATCCCCCTTCCCCCCATGGTGAAACTACGTGTCGAGTGTGGCTCGACATCCGAGTGCAGAGAGTTAAAAAACAAAAATTAGTCAAGCATGGTGGCGCATGCCTGTAGTCCCACGTGCTTGGGAGGCTTAGGCAGGAGGATCACTTGAGCCCAGGAGTTCGAGGCTGCACTGAGTATATGATTGTACCACTGCACTCCAGCCTGGGCAACACAGTGAGACCCCTGTCCCTTAAAAAATTAAAAAATGATATATGATATCACATACATATGATGTAATTTTTAAATAAAGATTCACAGCTTTAGTAATGGCGATACCTCATGTCTGCCCAGCGCTTTACCATTTGCTAACTGTTTTCATATGTGTTCTGCTGGAGGTGGAATAGCTTAGTTATTAGCAGTCAGACTGCTCACATCTTGGCTCTGTCCCTTGCTGGATATGCCTTGGGCAAGACATTGACTTTCTCTAAGCTTCTCTGTACCCATTTCGTAAGGTCGTGGTGAGGATTTGGTAGGACAACGCGTGTCGTGAGCTCGGAGGGGCCAGATTATAGTAAATGTTCATGTCACACAACTTACTGTCCGAATTTTTTCCACCACCAACACTCTTGTGAAAAAGTAGGGCACGCGGGATTATCCTCCTTTTACCCAAGGGGAGAATAGTGCTCGGAGAGATTAGGTGAAATGACAAGTGATTCTTTTGTTTTTTTTTAAACCAAGTTTCAATTGCAGTCTTACTGGCAAGACTGGAAAAGGCAATCCGGTGAGTTCCCTGGGAACTTTCTCTGGGGTGAAGCAAGCACACAGGGAACCTGAAACACCTGTTGAACCGCTCTTTTGGGGTCAAGAGAAGCCCTAAAGATCGGACACTGTCAGTCTGTATTGTCACATAGCTCATGGCCTAAAGTTCAACTTGAGCTGAATATTAACAGGGTAGGTTCAAGTCATTCTTCACTTTTTTGGGGGTAGAGGGGGGTGTAAGAGGATGATAAAATTTTTTTTTGTAATTTCAGGAACCTTCTCATTTCTAAATGAAAATTACTCGTCTGACAGTTTCCGTGAGTGTGTAGCCCGTCAAAGGTACTTTCAAAACTCAGCTTGCTGGGTTCACATGGCTTTGCAAAACAGGCACAGGCAGACGGCTGCCAGCCACCGCGTGCTGGCCGGCTGGCTGGCCTGGCCCTGGCCTTATTTGGCCAGCAGATGTGTTGATCCAGGAACTTTATATGAGACAGGATCCTCTTGAGGCCACCAGAAAAGTAACCTCTCTCACCAGCTCGTGGGAAAGACGCACTCTTGATTTTTTAGCAATTATATTTCTTGTTCTAAATTAAAGTCACCTCCCAGCCTTCTTTTACCATAGTTTGGAATTTAACACAACTTTCTTTTTCCTACTCAAATGAGTTTAAGACAGATTCACTCCTTCGAAAACAAACTGAAATGTTAAAATGTTTGCTAGGAACAAACTTGGCCCCTGTTCTATTGTTTGCCTCTTGGGAAAAAAATAATTCTTGGATGGTTCGGCTTTAAGAGACAGAAACTATGAAAATGGAAAATTCCCCATAAACAATCAAAGGGGAGAATTCACTTTACAAACGAATTCTTTATTCACTGATGGGTACATTTAATTTTCAGACATGAAATATTAGGAGTCAGTTGACTAGCAACAGCTCTGAAATTGCTTTGTTGAGGAGACAATTTAAAATGCAAACTTTTGACACATAGTAAAGTTTTCAGTAGCATAGCTATTTGGCAAGCTTCAGAGTGGCATCTACAGAGACAGTCTAGAAAGCCAGTGTGAAAAGATTCATAAAATCATGTCTTCGGATTATTATGAAAACACAGCTGAGCAAACTTAATTCTAGAAGAAAACAAGTTGGAAAAGCAAGGTTTAGAGGTTAGACCACAGATAGAGAAGTACTTAGGCACGATAATCTGGGAATATATGGATAACTTTTATGGGACGTTTATTTTCACTTGTAACAATTATAAGAGGCTGCTCACAGCACAACTACAAAATGCCACAGATGTATAGCAGCTTTTATCCAATGGGTCTATGCCCCTGGGTCCATTTTTGCAATATGGAAATGTCAGTTTTGCTGTCCATGGAAAAACTTCAATTTGGCTAACTAAATCTCAGCCGTGATATGATTCCTGCTAGAATTAAAATAAGACACTACATACTTCCTGTCCTGGAAAACTGTTAAAAAGGCACTACCTCCTTTGGGTGTGGTTCTGGCAGCTTTAAGACAAATGATGCCAGGTAAACTGGTCTGAGAAGCTGGAAATCCTTACAGAATGAGATAGCGCTGAGTAGGGGCGTGTGTGTGCAGGCACGTGCATGTAGAAATACAAGTTACGAGTATTCATCCAAAACTTGTTACAGAGCATACATACTAATTTTCTTAAATATATGGCTGTCAGAACCATATTAAATTCATAATGTCTCAACCTTGCTATGAATATCTTACTTGTGTCAACTGTAAGCTATAAATCCATTTTTTTTTTTAAAAAAAAGAAGGGTTTATAAAACAGCAATGATGATAGATTATTCATATTCTCCCCTCCCCAGTTCTAATCAAAATCCCTAGGGGAGAGATTAAACTATAGCCCCAAACCAAGAAGGAAACTGAATTAATGTTCCTAAGTGTTGCAATTGGCAGTAAGGTGGGTTTCTTTTTTTTTTTTTTAAGCTCCTGGAATTAGTTTTTCTACCAAGTTTTTAGCTTTAGCTAAATGAAATTCAGAAGCAGTTGGGAACTTGGGCAAGGCGGGACTGTGTTTTCCAAATATGGTGATGCCAACGGTGTGGTGGTGGCACTTCTGCACCAAGAGGTGGGGCGTATGGTCCATTTCCTTGACTACGAGTGGACCAATGGCAGGGCAGAAGGGATGCTATATGACTTCCAAAGCTAAATCATACAATGCGATGCAGCTCCTGCTGTGATCTCTTTTCTGGGGTGGGTAGGGGGTCCTCCAGCCCACATGTCAGAGGATCAGCCAGCCTGAAGCCACCAAGCTGGAGAGACCACATGGAAAAAGTCTCTGTGGAAAGAGATGGCTTGGGGACCCAGCTGTTCTAGTCCCCGGCTGTTTGAGGCTTCTTCCCGCCACCAGCCTTCACCTTCAAATCATTCCAGCCCCCAGCCTTCAAGCCAGCCCTCGCCGGTGCTGAGGGCTGCCGGGACAAGCTGGCCCCGTGAAGCCCTGCCCAAATGACAAAGTAGTGAGCAAAGTAAGTAGTGTCATCTTAAGACACCAAGTTCTCCAGTGGTCCACCGTGTAGCAGTAGATAACCGGAACATTAGCGTCTGGAGACAACTTTGTGATGGAGACAACTTGGTAAATGCCAAGTTGAAGTGAACATACCCAGGGCAGGGTTGGTTGATCAGCTTAATAGCCTGTAATATACATTACAGCTTTCTTGTCTGAGTTAAAGCAGGAAATCATCTTGTCTTGACAAGAGCTGCTGTTGTAGGTGGAAGTGTTGCTTGACTAGATGTCTTAATAAGACTTCTGAAACCGAAACAGTCTCATGGCCTGATTTCTTAATTATGACCGTCAAGTTAATAAAAAGGCAAAGGGTGTAGCGGCCTTTCTGTTTTCTACTTCCCATGAGTCTCTGGTCAGGGACCGGGGGAGAGCCGGGCTGGCTAGTTCAAGAAGGCTTCCTTGGCCGGGCGCGGTGGCTCACGCTTGTAATCCCAGCACTCTGGGAGGCCGAGGCGGGAGGATCGCTTAAGGTCAGGAGTTCGGGACCAGCCTGAGCAAGAGCAAGTCCTGGTCTCTACTAAAAATAGAAATTATCTGGACAACTAAAAATATATAGGAAAAAGGAGCTGGGCACGGTGGCGCATGCCTATAGTCCCAACTACTTGGGAGGCTGAGGCAGGAGGATCACTTGAGCCCAGGAGTTTGAGGTTGCTGTGAGCGAGGCTGACGCCACGGCACTCTAGCCTGGGCAACAGAGTGAGACTCTGTCTCCAAGAAAACCCCCCAAAAAACAAAAACACAGGGCTTGAGTTTGGAAGTCCCAGATTGTCATTTCTACTGCATCCTATTAATGGCGAATGAAGTTGCAGACCAAGTCAAGGGGAGGGAAAGGGAAGCCACCTCGAGGTGCGTGGTGTGCCATGCGCACTCAGGGCAGGGTGGGAAAGGCTTGATGGCGGCCATTTTAGAGACAAACGGAGAGAGCCGTTGAGTCTGAATAGGGAGGGAGTGGTTCTAATCCTGGCTCTGCCGCTAACCAGCTTTGTGGCGTTGCCCAGTCGCGTAATAATGTTTAACCTGCCTGCTCAGATGGCAAGTGAGCACAATAATCAGGAGCTCCAACGTCCTGTCTACTTCCAAAAATCTGCCTCTCATCAAGGCAGAACCTACATTAGCCCAGAAAGTGGAGGAGGAAGTCAACAGAAACACAATGAACGATCCACCTGTGCCCTTCTGGGCTGCTGTTTAATCTGTCACTGTGGACGGGCGTGACATCTCCCTCCCTCGTCAATCATCACACAGTCTAAGCTTTTGAGGCCTGTCCTTCTATCTTCAGGACTTTGCTCCCGTGCCCACTTCCTCCTCTTCGGGCCCACAAGGTGGGAAATCAAAATACCATTCCCTTTCTCAGCTAAGTTATTATCTTTTAGAAGGAGTGGGAAGCTTTAGGTTTAAAACAAAAAAATTGGGGGAAGGATCCTAGAAACTAGGCTTAGAGACAATAACCTAGTCAACTGAACACCCCTGTAAATGTTGTGTCAGACGATCTGAACCTATTGCAAAATGGGACCCCTAAGGCTCTCTGAAACAGATTTTGGGGGGTATGTTTTTAAAAGTCTTCAAGCATAAGCTTTATAATTTTGATACATACAATTCCCTCAAGTATTCTCAAAACATTTTAGGAGGATGATAAGTTGCCACAGGGACCCCCTGGGTTAAGTCTTTGATCAATCAGTATTTGGGGAGGCTCGGTTCATAAATATCTATGCTAGGTGCACAGGATCTCTGTTTTAAGGAGCTCGTGATTCCAGAAGCTATCTGGGGCTTTCCAATTTGTTGGACTAAGTTAGATGCAGCATTTGCACCCTTACTGGCTGCATTTGCTCCAGGAATTTCGGCAACAGGCGGAGTCCTGTGTACCCGGCTCTAGCTAGTTACTTCTGCACCGTGGTGACTTACAACAATTGGAAGTGAGATCGGCTTGAGCCTAGATTATCTTTCTGGCACGAAGCTCTCAACGTCTCACTGTGCCCTTCCTTTCCTGTTGCCAAGATCTCTCAGGCCCTGTTTAACTAAAATAACTCTTGAAAGGAGGACGTGGTAATGTTTTTTGGTCACCATAAGTAATATGCAAACCCTCATGCTGAAGAATGTAGCTAACCATTACTCTGAAAAATAGAATAATCTGTTAGATCTGCCACTAACTCTTTTTTTGTTTGTTTTTATTTCTCCAAACTCTGGCTGTTATCTCTCCTAACCAAGATCTCCTCCTACTCCTTTCCCTGGTACCTGGCACTGCCACCCACCCCATTTCTGATGCCTCCATCTGTCACAATTTCAACTGAGGCCACACTAATCCAAATCCAGGAGATGACTCTTTCAGCTGTTACAAACAGAGATTCAAATCAGTCTGTGAACAGTCACCGAGTTCTAAAACCTCTGGGTGAGATGGTGGCAGAGAGAGACCAGAATTTGAAGATCTCAAGTCAGTAAAGGCTTTTTGTTATCTGTTCAATTCTAATTGTTCCTCAATCCTTCCACCCTCCTTACTACCTTCTGACCATAATCTTCAGTAAGCTGTCACCGTAAGAGAAAATGGACGGAAAGCAGGAGTAGCGGCGATGCTATACTAACAGGAAATGCGGGGGTTCAGTGGCAGCTCTGGACTGACGTCCTCAAGGCATTCGCATCTCGACATCAACCTAAAAAAATATCCATGGGAACTCATAACCCAGCAAAACCAAATGCTGCCAGCTGTGGTCAACGTGGGACGTGTGTTACCCTAAGTTCTGTCCCCAGGGATGTCCCATCTTACCACCTTCCATCAGGACAGCATCAAAGTGACGTTGATGACAGTTAACAAAACTTCCTGTTCTCAAGGGACCCATGGTATGGGAGTACACGCAACTGACCTAAGGCGTGCATTTCGGATTTTGCACGTAGCAACCAGTCTGGGTATGGCCTTTTCTTAATAAACCCAGAGAGCTGCACAGGAATACCTATCATTGGGTCAAGTTCATGGCAGAAGTGGAAATATCAGAGTTCTTTTTTTTTTTTTTGACAGACTCTCACTCTGTTGCCCAGGCTAGAGTGAGTGCCGTGGCATCAGCCTAGCTCACAGCAACCTCACACTCCTGGGCTCAAGCGATCCTCCTGCCTCAGCCTCCCGAGTAGCTGGGACCACAGGCATGCGCCACTATGCCCGGCTAATTTTTTCTATATATTTTTAGTTGGCCAATTAATTTCTTTCTATTTTTTTTTTAGTAGAGACAGGGTCTCACTCTTGCTCAGGCTGGTTTTGAACTCCCGACCTCTAGCGATCCTCCCTCCTCGGCCTCCCAGAGTGCTGGGATGACAGGTGTGAGCCACCGTGCAGCAATATCAGGGTTCTAAGCGTGCCTGGCTTAGCCTTAGAGCAGGCCCGTCAGCGGGCTGACCCGGGACCGTCTCCCACTCGGGGCGGAGGGCCGAGGGCCTGGCCCCCCGCAGGAGCTGTGGAGACCGAGGGCACGAGGGCTGCGGCGTCACGTGGCTGCGTGGGAGGGGGCGCGGGCGACTGCCTTTGGCCACACAGTGGGCTAATCTGAGGCCCCCGGACACCCACTTCCTTCCTTTTCTAGGGAACCGACCCGAAGGCGGCCGGGACGTCACAGCCATCCCACTACAACTTGAGGCCTCTGCAGCCTCCACCGCATCCCGCCCCCCAGCGGCCCCCTACCCACGCGCATGCGCTGAAGCAGGGGGGCGGAGGGGGCGGGGCGTGCGCGAGGCCCCGCCCCGCCATTGGCGGCGGCCGGGCCACACGGAGGCCCACGTGAGCAGACCGCCGGCCAGGCCGCGGCGGGTTGCGCATGCGCGGCGGGCCAGCGGAGGTGGCGGCTGGGCGCGGGCGGCCGAGGGCGTGGCTGGGAACGAGCCGGCGGAAGCCTGGCGCGGGGCCCTGCAGCTGGTGGCGGGCGGGGCGGCCGCTCTCCCTCGGGGGAAAGCTGCTGACGGGGTGGAAAGCGACCCGGGAGAGGAGCGGGACCGGGACGGGCCAGCCCGGCATGCCACTGGCTGTGACCTTTGGCCAGGTCCCTCGCGGGCCTCAGTTTCCCCACGCTTCCTGAGGTCATCCGGCCTGACAGTGGGCCAAGGAGAAAATGGGAGCTCACGTTAGGTCACTGCCTACGTGGTATTTAGGGTGCCACGGACGCCCTCGGAGCCAGGTGCCCAGCGCCAGGGAGCTGCCCCCGCGCACCTGCGCGGCCGGGCCGGCCTCAGTTTCCTCACCAGGGCACATGGACTTTGCTTCCAAGGCAACGGGCAGGGGCGAGGCGTGTTGGCGTGTTACCCCAGTGGTGTCTGGCACATGCTGGGCTCGTGACCCGGGTGACAGGCTCAGGCCGTGCAAAGGGCTCGTCCGGACGGCTGTGCCTTGCAGGGCTGTGACGTCCCGGGAAGTGCAGGCACGCACCGTGCACGCCCGCGGTGGGCAGAGGTCGGTTTACTTCCACTCCGCCGGCTAGCCAGGGAGGATCGCGGTTATTCATTTATGAAGGACACGCCCATTGACCCTGCGGTAGACAAGATCCTGGGTCTTTAAAAAAAATACATACATATATGTATATATCTTTTTTTTTCTTTTTCTTTTTAATTTCAAGCATGGATTGTAAAAGATTCTGGGTCTTAACTTTATAGTGATCTCTCCAGCTCACGTAGTGTTTCAGAAAAGCCAAGGGAAACACTTGGTTCACTCTCACATTTAGTCCTTGGGATCAAGAAGGAAGCGTGCTGGATCCGCATGCGTGGCAGTTGTTGGTGTGTTGGAGTGATTTGGGGTAGAACTGTCACTGCTCAATAGGAGAGAGGGAGCAAAACCATTTTCTTCACCTGTTCTTGTGGCTCCACGCGGAAAGCTCGAGAAATATTCATGATCTGTGTTGTAGTATTCTTTGTTTTTTTTTTTTTAGTCTCAAAAACACCCCTACCTTCGTTGTCTCTAGGTTGTCCTTAACAGCTATTTTTTTGTAGACATGTGGCCAAAATACATTTGACCTTAAGCTCACCTTTTCCTACCAGTAACCACTTTAAGATCTTGTTGCTACAAGAGTGAAGAGAAAATCCATTTGTAATATTATTTAGAGAAGGATAACCACGCCCTGACTTCCACAGAGTCTTGAGTAAATAAAACTACTGCTCTTTCTGGAAAAAACCTGCAGCTGAAACTGGGATTAGGATAGAGAAAGCCAGCTGGATACTGCCCGAGTGCCAGTGATGGTTTCTGTTTATGGTCTGTTTATCACACAACATGTTTTGCCAGGATGTGACTAGCTTTTTGTAAGCCTACCGTGACTGCAGACGGCATGTGATGCCACGCATCTAAAATACCCACAAGTAGCCGCTGAGCCCCTTGGTTAGCTGTGTGCTGAAGCTCCGTGTTGGAAAATGCAGCCATTTGATTTGTTATCTATGAATAATAATTTAAAAATAAATTACAGAGAGCATATGAAGGTTTCTGGGGTTTGACTTTTCCATTTAACCAATTTTTCATTTTAGAATTTTATTTTACTTTATTTTTGTGACAGAGTCTCACTCTGTTGCCCAGGCTAGAGTGAGTGCCGTGGCATCAGCCTCGCTCACGGCAACCTCCAACTCCTGGGCTCAGGCGATCCTCCTGCCTCAGCCTCCCGAGTAGCTGGGACTACAGGCATGCGCCACCATGCCCGGCTAAGTTTTTCTATATATTTTTAGTTGGCCAATTAATTTCTTTCTATTTTTGGTAGAGATGGAGTGTTACTCTTGCTTGGGCTGGTTTCGAACTCCTGACCTTGAGTGATCTGCCCGCCTAGGCCTCCCAGAGTGCTAGGATTACAGGCGTGAGCCACCGCGCCCAGCTCATTCTAGTATTTTTAAACAGTTGTGGACTCTAGCTGCTAATCTTTGAGATTGTTGAAATTGGCATGAAAGACATGTAGTGGCCGTTGGTCTCATTATTTCAGTTTAACACACATTATTTCGCAGAGTATAACATGTTGAATAACTATAATACTCCTAATAATAAAGTCACTGAGAATGTGCCATTTATATTTATTTATATTAACATTTATATCCATGATTTCATTTTACAGTTGAGTCTTGGACACCATGCGTTTGAACTCCACAGGTCTGCTTATACATGGATTTTTTTTCCAGTTAATATATTGGCAGGTTTTTTTTGAGATGTGCGACAATTTGAAAAAAACAGGCAAACCAGATAGTCTAGACTAGCAAAAAAATTAAGAAAAAGTTACATCATGAACACATAATACATACAGATACTAGATTATTTTATCTTTTTTTTTTTGATGAGCCACTGTTCACTTTATTCAAATGCATATATATTTTTTCCTCTGTGAAACTGAGTAGAACTGAGGAGGGGTCAAAGAAAGCCTCATGTACTAAATTCTTAAATAGAGTCTTTGAATTCGAGGTGAGGGTCGATAGGAGAGGCCTTGTGCCAGCAAAGCTACTGGGGCAGTCCTGCAAATCAAGGAGGATGGCAGATCCCATTTCTTAAAAGGAAAAAAAAAAGTTCTTGAGGGGGGAAAATAGAAAATACCCAAGTTTCAAAAGCGGGACTACGTCCACACTCTGCTCTCCGCCCCGGACTGTCCACGCACAGAGTTTCCAGCTTCGTTTCCAAGGATTCAAGGTTTGCAAACATAATGCAGGTACGTCCCTCGTCCCCAGTCCCGCTCCGGCGACTTGACCGCGAGCCGTGTGCGTGGACCCGAGGTCCGGCGTCCCTCCGAAGGCCGCGTCTCCTCGTCCGTCCGGCGACGAAGCCCTGCCGAGACCCGGACGTCACGAGCCGCCCACGCGGGGCGGCGGGGCGGAGCGGGTGTCGTTGCGGGTCACCGGCAAGTACCCTTTGAGGCTGGCCGGCGTCTTGTAGTCGCCCCTGAGGACCCGGCGAGTGTTGTCCACCACCTCGGGGTCCGGGTGGCCGTAGTCGGGCGGGTTCGCGTAGGGGTCGTAGCCCAGGCGCGCCAGCATGGGGGCGATGCGGGCCATGTCGCGCACCACGTCGGCCGGCAGGTGGCCGGCCCACCTGCTGAGCGCCTGCAGGTTGACGGGCTTGATGACCTGCTCGGTGGACGGCTCCACCTTGGACAGGGCGACGCCGCCGGGCCGGCCGACGAGGTCCTCGTGGTGCAGGACGGCGTCGCTCCAGGCGAGGCCCAGGAAGGCGAGCACGCGCTCGAGCGAGCGGCGCGGGTGCAGCACGAGCTGCTCGTAGCGCACGGGCAGGCACCGCGCGCGGCCCAGCGCGGCGCACTGCGCGTGCATCGCCTGCACCGCCTGGCTCCAGCGGGCCAGGCAGTCGCGGTAGCTGCCCAGGTCGAAGCCGGCCACCGTGACCCTGCGCGTGATCATGGAGTGCACCGAGGCGCGGCCGTCGCGCAGCATCAGCAGGAACTTGGCGCCGGGGAACAGGCCGGCCAGGTAGACGGCGGACCTGAGCGTGAAGGGGTCCTTGTTGCACAGCACGCGCGCCGGCTCGCCGTGCCTGGCCACCACCTGCAGGATGAAGGCCTGCGTGGCCGCGTCCAGCACCGCGGCCGGCACCGGGCCGCCCTCCTCCTCCTCCTCCCCCGCCGCGCCCGGCCGGGCCCAGGCCTGGCGCAGCGCGAGCACGCGCGGGATGATGCGCGTCTCCTGGCCGCAGCGCACCTCGGGGTGCGCGTCCAGCATGGCGCGCATCAGCGTGGTGCCGCTGCGGGGCACGCCGCCCACGAACACGAGCGGCGCGCCGTGGCCGTAGCGGTGCTCCACGCGGTCCGCGCCCACCAGCGCCAGCTCCTCGCGCTCCGGCCGCATGGCCCAGCGCGGGCCCGCCAGCGCCGCGCGGCACCGCCGCACCTGCAGCGCCAGCTGCGCCACCGCCGCCAGCGCCAGCGCGCAGCCCGCCGCCAGCAGCGCCCTGCGCGGGGACAGCCGCATGCCGCGCCGCCTGCGGGTGTTGGGGCCTTGGGGGTGCAGGCCCGGCCTGGGGACCCGGCTCTGCGACTCCAGCGACGCGCCAGCCAGCTGTCCGCCCGCCCGGCTCACACCGTGCACGAGCACGGCGATCCCAGCGGCCCCAGGCGCGCGGCGACTCCGGCTCTCCGGCCGCCCCGCGGGGGAGGGGTGGGCGCCTCTGTCTTCTCGTTCACTGCCATAAAATGGTCGCATTGCAACAACTTAAACATTTATCAGAATCGATGCACGCACACAGACTATGATTGCTGACGTGCAGTGCAGAGAAATGCATCGAACATAGAGATGCAGGATTAAATCATAACTGCACAAAATTAACTGTCATCCACACTGACATCGTCATAGCTGACAGCAACCTCAGACTCCTGGAGTCCCAGCTGCTCGGGAGGCCGAGGCAGGAGGATCGCTTGAGCAGAGGAGTTGGAGGTTGCTGTGAGCGAGGCTGACGCCACGGCACTCACTCTAGCCTGGGCAACAGAGTGAGACTCTGGCTCATAAATAAATAAATAAATAAAGTGCTAACCCTCACAAATAAAAGCGAAGGGAAAAAATCTCTAATGAGATGTACGCACACATGGCCTGTGTGTGTGTGTGTGTGTGTGTCCAAGAAAGCAAATATCTTTTTATAGCTGTTTCTGGTTGTCCAAGAGTGTGAATAGTGAGTGCAAAAGGAAGCCAGGCTCTGCGGCAATCATTTATGCTTTTGTCAGTTTATAGGGCCTTGTTCAGCCTGTCTGGGCCCTCAGAAAATGCGGCTTTCCTAATTGTGTTCAAATCAAGTCAGAGTTTGAAGACGGGTATGTGGTTTGCTTTTCCTAACCCGAGCCTGGCTAGATTTTGCTTGGGCAAATGCCATGGGCGGCAGAGCGGCCCCTTTAAATATGTCCCTGTTGTAATTCCTGAACCCTGTAATGTGTGTCACTTGACACAGCAAAAGGGATTGTGGCAGATGGGATTGAATTTAGGATTTTGAGATGGGGAGATGGCCTGGATTATCCCGGTGAGAGCAACATAATCACAAGGGTCCCAGTAAGTGGGAGAGGCAGGCAGGGGTGGCAGAGTGACGCAGCTGGTAACAGACTGCACTGGCCATTTCGGGTTTTGAAGATGGGAACAGGCCACAAGCCAAGGGATGTAGGCAGCCTCGGGCAGCTGGGAAGGGCAAGAAAGTGGATTCTCTCTCCTCTAGGCCTTCTACTGTAGAGGGGATGTGCACTCCCGGAACTGTAAGATAATGAATCTGCAGTGTTGTTGTAAGCCTCTAAGATTTTGGTAATTTGTTATAGCAACAATAGGACACTAGTGCAAAATGCCTACAGGGTGCATATGATTTGCAAGTTCTAAAACACAGGGAATTATTATATTTTTTAAAATGGGAGCTCCCATTTTTTTTTTTTTTTGAAGTCTCACTGCTAGGACTCCCCAGAGAGCAGAGTTTTGGTACTTACCCTCCCCTACCAGCTCTGAAATACTCAGATCAAAAAGTGTGCATGTTGGCCAGGTGCGGTGGCTCATGCCTGTAACCCTAGCGCTCTCGTAGGCCGTGGCGGGAGGATTGCTCAAGGTCAGGAGTTCGAAACCAGCCTGAGCAAGAGTGAGACCCCCGTCTCTATTATAAATAGAAAGAAATTAATTGACCAACTAAAAATATATAGAAAAAATTAGCCGGGCATGGTGGCGCATGCCTGTAGTCCCAGCTACTCGGGAGACTGAGGCAGGAGGATCGCTTGAGCCCAGGGGTTTGAGGTTGCTACGAGTGAGGCTGATGCCATGGCACTCTAGCCTGGGTAACAGAATGAAACTCTGTCTAAAAAAAAAAAAGTGTGATAAAAAGGATAAAGGTTAAACCCAAACTTGAACAGTCTTTCCCAGCATGTGAGCTATCTTCATCACTGTCACCATGGTGTGTGTCACAATTTTTTTTTTTAACCATTTACCAACTGATGGACATTAGGTGTATTTCCAGTTTGGGGTGATAGTAATAAAGCTGTTTATAATTTGCATATAGTTTTTTTGTATAGACCTATTTTAATTTCTATTGGATAAATACTTAAGTGAGATTTCTGGATAATATAATAAGTATGTTTGTTTTTTGCTTTTTGTTTCCAAACTGTCAAACCGTTTTCCAAAGTGGTTGTACCATTCTCCCTACCAGCGACGATGAGAGTTCCAGTTTACGGAATAGTATAAAATGAGGAGTGAAAGACTTCCACTCCACCCCCAAGTCCCTTTCCCATTATTAAATTTCTAGGATGAGCAGAAATTCTAATATTTGCTAAATGTGGTTGGGAGAATGTAACTCAGCTATTTACATGTGGTTCATATATAAATGAACCATAATTTTTTTTTTTTTGAAACAGAGTCTCGCTTTGTTGCCCAGGGTAGAGTGAGTGCTGTGGCGTCAGCCTCGCTCACAGCAACCTCCAACTCCTGGGCTCAAGCAATCCTCCTGCCTCAGCCTCCCGAGTAGCTGGGACTACAGGCACGTGCCACCATGCCCAGCTAATTTTTTCTACATATTTTTAGTTGGCCAATTAATTTCTTTCTATTTTTAGTAGAGACGGGGTCTCGCTCTTGCTCAGGCTGGTTTCGAACTCATGACCTCGAGTGATCCTCCCGCCTCGGCCTCCCAGAGTGCTAGAATGACAGGCGTGAGCCACCGCGCCCGGCCTTATAATTCTTTGTTACCCCAAATGGTCATAGTTTTCTTATGCTGAAATGTGCTCTGTCTCTTCAGGTATAATCTGGGAACTGCCGTAATCCTACGTGGATTGTTGAGGGATTGCCTTTTAGCATTGCTAGACGAGGGCATTGGGTGGTTAGAGGGGTAAGGCCGTCTATGCGGGTCTGAATTTGCACGGTGACAGAGGCCATGCTAAATCACAGAGCTGGCTTTGAATCCCAGGCCTGATGTTCTGGTTTGGCCAAATCACTTTAACTTTCTTTCTTTCTTTTATTTTTGGAGACAGAGTCTTACTCTGTTGCTTGGACTAGAGTGCCGTGGCATCAGCCTAGCTCACAGCAACCTCAAACTCCTGGCCTCAAGTGATCCTCCTGCCTCAGCCTCCCGAGTAGCAGCTGGGACTACAGGCATGTGCCACCACGCCCAGCTAATTTTTTCTATATATTTTTAGTTGTCCAGATAATTTCTATTTTTAGTAGAGACAGGGTCTCACTCTTGCTCAGGCTGGTCTCGAACTCCTGACCTTGAGCGATCCACCCACCTTGGCCTCCCTGAGTTACCATGCCCAGCCCACTTTAACTTTCTAGAGTGATTTCTTGTCCTATACGATAGGGAGGGGCCGGGTGCGGTGGCTCACGCCTGTCATCCCAGCACTCTGGGGGCCGAGGCGTGTGGATTGCTCGAGGTCAGGAGTTCAAGACCAGCCTGAGCAAGAGCGAAAGCCTGTCTCTACTATAAAAATAGAAAGAAATTAATTGGCCAGTAAAAAAAAATAATCAAAACAAAACAAAAGATAGGGAATTATCAGGGGGGAAAATGCTACTTTAAAAGCCAGTTTGCTCTGAAATTCTGTCCATCAAAAGAAATGAAAGAAGGAGGAGAGAGAGAGATTGGGGTCACTTGGTTAGAGGGAGCAAATTAGAGGATGGTTTTGAGTTGTGAAGCCAGAGGCATCCGGTATTGTCAGTGTGATTGCTAGTTTACAGGGTTGAATGTCCAGTTAGCAGTGGAAAGGGTAGTGACTCGCTGATCTTCAGTTCCATGTGCAGCTCATTCTCAGGCCGCTGCTAGATATTCCTGCCTTCATGAAAGACTCCTAATAGGCCTTGGCTCCAAAACCTTCAAGCAGATGAAGTGAAAGTTCAGAAAAGAATCTTGTTCCCCCTCAACTATATTGAGCCTCTTCATTTGGGAGAAACTTGTGCTAGGTACCGACAGTACAGAAAGGAACTAGTTGTCGCCTCTACCCCTAGGACGTCTGGCTTTGCGTTGCGTCTCTTACAACTGTGGGATCTCACAGACCCCCCCAGACAGTCGAGCAGGTGGAAGTGGAGGCGAAGCATTTAGCAGGACGCACCGGGCCTGGCACCGCAAGGGGCCACAGACGATTGTACATGATCCATGAAATCAGACGATCTGGCCTTGAATCCCAGCTCCGATGCTCTGGTTTGGCCAACTCACTGCAACTTTCTAGAGTGATTGCTTGCTCTGTAAGATAGAAATCTATGGGGGGGGGGGAAATGCTATTTTAAAACCTTTGGCACTCGCTTGCTCTTTTCTCGATTCCTTTATTTATTTAATTTTTTAAATACCCCAGATTTTACAAAAACCAGAGTTTCTTTGCATACAAACTTATTTATGTGGATGTTTTTATATTGCAAATTATTGATACATTCAAAGATTTTTAATAATTTTAATAAATTTAATAATTTTAATAAATTTAATAATTTTTAATAATTTTAATCTCTATAATTTTTCATGGTGTGAGCTGCTGCCGATGCCAACCGTGTCGAGTCACACCCGACACCCGCGTGCAAAGGGTTAAGAGCCAGTTAGCTCTCTCAGTTGGAAACTAAGATTGGCAGAATGACCATCTTGGTTAGGCCAAGGTAAAGGGCTAATCTAGGGGGGAAAGGTTGGGATCTGAGGGCTAAAATTGCTCCGCATAGTAAGAAATAAATAAATAATAAAAATTTTTGGTTTTCACTTGTGGCTGGAGGGAAGGGTTTTTTTTTGTTTTGAATTTTGCTTTTGTTGGTTTGCGCCATGCTGGTGAGAGAGCAGGCCCTGTAGGGGCTTCGTCAGCGTGAGAGGAGGGTGGGAAGAAGCTTTGGCGACTGATCTCACCTTCGAATTGTTTCCTCCTCCCAGTTGTCACTTCCTCCAGTAAAGATCTGCTCTTTAGAACACCGGATAGTCATGGTGCTTAGGGGACAGACGGGAGAATGGGCTGTGTCCACGCTAGGGGGGAGTAGAATGAAGACAGAGGAGATGGCGAGAAAGAACAGAGACTGGGTTGGAATCCGGACTTGGGATCAAAACGTGTCGGGGATCATTAGGAAGGTGCAAGCACCCTCCTCTGGATCCTTGGAATGATCGAGGAGGGTTCTGTGCCCCCTATAGTTATATGTGCTGTGGGGTAGAATTTGTGTTTGGATGTTAAATAAAAGATAGTACTGGTTAGGGTCGGGCGCGGTGGCTCACACCTATAATCCTAGCACTCTGGGAGGCTGAGGTGGGAGGATCGCTTGAGGCCAGGAGTTTGAGACCAGCCTGAACAAAAGCAAGACCCCGTCTCTACTAAAAAATAGAAAAAAAATTAGCCAGGCAACTAAAAAAAAAAAAAGAAAGAAAAAATTAGCCGGGCATGGTGGCGCATGCCTGTAGTCTCAGCTACTCGGGAGGCT